AAATTTATAGATGTTTTATTTTTATTACCATAACATTTCTCTAACAATTACGTGCTGAGAATTAAACGCCTCATCATTTCTCTGAATTTAATTTCAACATTAACAAGAAATCAATAACGTCTTTTTTCCTCTACCCAAAATAAACTCAAAAAAATAAAAAAAAGATTGATCAATGTCCAAGGAGATATAAGAAACTCCTAGTCTTTTATCCAAAGAAAATTTCAAAAATAAAATGATCAATGTTCAAGAAGATATTAAAAACTCCTAGTCTTTTTATTCAAAGAAAATTTCAAAAAAGATTGATCAATGTCCAAGGAGATATAAGGAACTCCTATTCTCCTTTACCCAAATAAAACTTCAAAAAATTATTGTAATAAAAATGTGACAAGCTTTCATAATTCATTCTTGAGTTTGGTTTTCATCTTGATTTTGAGATTGATTTTGATGTCTCTCTATACGTTCTTTAGCATGAGCCAACCAGGTTTTAATAGGAGCAGAGATCTTATCATCTGTAGTATCAGGAAATGATTTTCGTATAACACCTGGAAAAAAGATATTTATTAATAAATTAAAACAAATATCACTATAATGTAATGCAATGTAAATTAAGTAACATTTTATGCTTTATTTGTAATATTTAAAAGAAACTGTTGAAAAATATGAAAAATTGTAAACAAGTTTCATTGGTTTAGTTATAACATTGATTAATAAAAAAAATAAAGAGAGTTTTTAAATATCTTACTCATTATTACTTTGCATACATTCAAAGTAGAAAAATTTTGTTTCTTTTTAGCTCCAAACCAACTATAATTCAGAGCAAGTTGGTTCGAAAATATTAGTTTAATTAGTCGTAAACATGAAGTTTTTAAACAATTGCTCAGTACACGTGTCAATTGTGTTTTCTGAAATTATTACATTGCATTATTAATAGTTACAAAATATGTTACTATAAAATTGAAGTTGTATTTTTATTATTTAAACAGTTTTCTACTCTTTGTATATAACATCCAGAAATAAAAAGAAAGATATCAACTTGGGATTTGCAATTGTGAGTAAAAGTATTTAAATAACATTTATACTGTACAAATTGTTTTCATAATTAAATTGTTTGTCAGATTTTAAACCATTATCCTTTCTTTTTTCAAAGACACTGTTTATAATAAAATACTAACATTTTACTTACCATTTTGTCTCGATAAATAGAATCATTTTGTAGTTTTATTTCCATAGTATCTAGATCGTTTTGGTCTTTCAATGGAAAATCGTTTAATGTATCAATAGTTTCTTTTTCTTTTGTATGGAAAGAATCTATTGACAATTTTTGCAACATGATTTTTTGATTTTTTTTTATATCATTCAATGCTAATTCTAAATGTATTACTTTTCTTATTAAAAAATGTTGAAAATTTTCTAAAACAATCGAAATTTTGATGCATATTTATGTACAAATGAAATAAAAAATTTTTCAAAAATTGTACAAATAAAGAAATATAAAAAAAGAAATAAATTGTGCCAAGTTGCTTCAGAATAAATAAAGTTATAAGTATTAATATGTCACAAATAAAAAATACAATAAAAATTAGTTCCTTTACTAACTTTGTTCATGATTCAACTCTGGACTTAATACTGCTGTTTTCTTTGAGGCTGCACAATTGTCACTCGCAATATTATCCTCATTATTTGCTTCACTGTGAGTGATGAAATTTCCAGTACATTGTGTATCTAAACGTAATAAAAAAAATGTTACCATTATTCCAATACAATTTTAAAATTAATTAATACATAATGAAGCTTTATATGCAATGTTCATCTCATTGTTGATAATAGATATAATGTGCTATACATATTACAAATTGCATGTCTTTCTTTCCATCTATATTAAACACTTACTTTATGCATTACTATTTTTATTAATTGCTTATATTGTTTTAAATCGCATTATTAATTTTGATTTTATTTCTGCAATAGTATTAAGATCGGACGGTCTTTGGTAATAGATACAAATTATAATATAACACAGTGTAAACTGTATTTTTTATTTGGAAAATTCTCATTATAAAAACATTTTAATTGTCTACAGATAAATAAAAAATTTTTTAAATTGTTTATGTTAGAAATAAGAAAAAAATAATAATAACTAAATTCATGCTGATTTGTTTCAGAAACACTAATATGACTGTACACAGCATATTAATTCATCAATTGTTAGAGTGAAGACATCTTCTGGCCTTTAGAAGAGAGAGAGAGATGACGTGTGGTTTCCCTCTTCTCTCTCTTACACTATTAAGAGTTTTTCTTTTGTTTTTGGTTTTTATATACAGCGTAGCTGCGCCACGTTTTGTTACTAACTTACATTAAGACCTTCGTTGATGTCACATCTAAGTTTCAGTTTTATAGTATATAGAGTATTACTAAGTAGTGTTAAACATTAGAGATAAGATACAAAATTCAGAATTAAATAACAAAGAGTGCGCAGTGCGGAAGATATATTTGTACTAAAGCAGGAAGTTAGTTGTATTCTAACTAAAGCTGTCCTCCGTTCAACCTCGCGCATTCTGCCATCAATAATTACAAAAATAAAATACAATGTAAAATACAAATAACAATAAACTGGTATACTAACCTCCTGTATTATTCCGGTTTAAATTTGATGTTAAAAATTCGCTATCATCAGTATCATACGATTCTTCATCATATGATACATTTTTAGAAAATTGAATTCTGCTCATTTCGCTTTTATCATAATTCTCCTTATTATGTTTAGTGTTAGAAAAATTTTTACATTGCGGCTCTAAAAATATTGAAACAATGTTATCAATGTGATGTTCATATAATTTGTACATACATTATTTCTATTATATTTATATCTAAATATACAAAATTTATCTTATTTATGATAAACACAATATTATAAGAAATTCGATAAAATATAATATTTGTTATTATAAGTAGTGTATACATACTTAAATTATTATTGCAATCATTCATAGTTATACAATCCAAATCGCCATCAAAAATTTCGTTTGTATGCTTTTGTAATTCTAAAACAAAAAAGTTTAACGTGCTTTTATATTTCTTTACTTTGTTGTGTGATATATATAAAAAATATTTTATAATGGGACTTTTTTCAGCAAAAGACAGTTAACAGTTGACTTTTTTTCAGCAAAAGACTGTCCCTCCCTAAATCTAGTAAAGTAAGTCCTAACCCTGCTAAAGTTGCTTACCCTGTTCTATCAACAAGAATCATACATGTATAATTTATACATAATGAACAGTATAAGTAACTTCAATATTTGCTTCACTAGATCTTTATTAAAACATCTCATGATTTTTAATCCATTATTATTTCTATTAATGCTCATACCTTCTTTTGCACGTCTTTCTAGTTTTTGTTTTTTCGAAACATGTTTAGTAGTCATATTAGAAGTTTTTGGAACTGTTGGAAGATCAGACAGCAAATTTTCATCAGAAAGTTCATCACCACCACTCATTGATGAGTTCATGAGTTTTGCGGCTCTAATTTTTCTAGACCTCTTAAGATATTCATTTTTCTCAGTTCCAGAATTGAGATCTGATATTTCCTCAGCTTCTTTTAATTTTTTTCTTGCTACTGCATAATGCGCTGCAAAAAAAAGAATATAATTATGAAGAAACATATTGTTAAGTTATATTACAAAAGAACATTAAAATATATTAATATTTCATACAGAGAAGTAATAATACATTTAAGAAGAATATAATATTACTTACAATATGTTCCATAGATTTTTTTAATGGGATGACTCAACCATGTACTTTGCGGTTCTTCCATCGATTTTACAGCTTTATCGTATCTTATATTACTGATGAAACCAACAGGCCAGACAGCACTCTTCAGGACTGTACTTAACCAATTGTTGGGCACTATTTGAAGTCCATCCTCAAACTCAATGACGTAAAATTTGTCGTCATTCATTCTATTACAATAAATATACTGTTACAATAAATATTCTTTTACAATAAATAACATAGCGGTATGCAACAATGAAAAACTGTATATTTATCTTCACAAGGCAATTTGACATATTTTGTAATGACATTTTGTAACGGCCATGATTTCAAATTAGAATAAGAGTGTACAGTATAAATTCCAAGTAATGAGGATGGGCAAGGAATATTATATAGATTTTCTCTTTCCAAAAATTCATGACCTATTATTATTGGAATATTTCGCTTAGTGCAGTACGCTATATTTTGTATACACACAATTGCACCACATTTTAAGCCACAACAATTATCCGCCAGTGATCCAGCTTTTAATGTTAGTCCATTATATTTCACAATTTTGTATTGTGGATTGGTGCTGTTGTCTGTCAGTGGACCATCAGAATGCAACGCCATTAAACTGGGATGTTTCATTATACAATCTGATAAAGTAATCAATGATAGTGATGATTCAGAGTTTATTTTTTTTTCTAATGCATCTGCGCACTACTTGCGATAAAGGTCTATCTGCTTTTCTAATATATTTCTTTATTATTTGCATGTAATTTTCGAATTTGAATGCACTAAAATTAATCAAGTGGCCCAAATTTTTGGACATCAGAAACAAGATGTATAAGACTATGCACGTTGTGTGATATATGTTGAGTTCCATATAGTTTCTTAAATGTATTTATAAAAAAAGAATCAATTCTTGCGCATAGGTTAGATGTTCGTTTAATTTTTGTGATGACAAAATTCTTACAATCACATGTAATGTTAGAAAATTAAAAAAAACATTCTTTTTTAATTTGGATTTAAAAGCTAATGGACCTATATACAATAATATCATTCTATACTCCGTAGCCTTCCATAATTTAACACAATCGAGTTTTCGTGGCTTCCTTGCAAATTCTACAGGTATTGAAGGTTTCAGCTGTGTTACTAGACTTGTAGAAATTTCTTCAACAGTTCTTGATTGTAATCGATACTGAATGTCTCCCACAAGCCATAAATATATCAATTTGCGCATAATTCCCAAACATATCAAATGCATGTAATCCAAAGGAACATTTGTCACCGGCATAAAATGAGGTAATTTCAGTAAAACACAAGTGATATTTGGCTTGTGATAATTATCATCTATCTTTTGAATGAAATCGTCATTTGTTCGAAGTGGCGCATCGACTTGTGGGAAACATATTCGATTACAAACATATTCTCCTTCTGTTTGACATTTAGTACAACTATAGTATCCTGTATGTCCTTTCACACAAAGAACGAATGATTTTGCTGGTGTGTCGCAAATTAGAGCTTCTAGCCTGCATGGTATGTTACGGCCATTAAAATTAATGCCATTTTCGAATAAATCTTTTGCTTCATCAACAAAATCCCTCAAAAAATCGTTGGCATTTGCTGGTTTTTCGTTACCGTAATAAAGTCCAATTATAAAAACATTATTATATGGAACAACCGAACCTAATATAGGCCAAAATTGCTGTGTTGACGATTTTGATAGTGGTAACCCATCAATATTAATAGTTATTTTTATACAATCAATGTTATCTTTTATAGATGCTAGTATCTTTGATACGGAATTTAATACACCAAAATGATAGTAGCTTCCTGGCGCTATCATACGTATTTCTTGCTTCCTTGGTGTTTGTAAAAGTGTTCTTGGATCTGATGATAACGTTGAAAAGCAAGAATGTTTTCTCAATCTGTGTAATAATGCTCTTAAAGCAATGTGAGAAATTTGATATTTTACAGCCCACATAGCTAAATCACTTATTATATTACTGTCTATTATTTCTGTATTTTCTGATAGATAAGGTAAAAATTCTTCAGATGATTGTTGCGAATCAGATGTATAATTATTTGATTGTCTGCATTCATAATCATTTTTATCTTCTATAGATGTTTCATTAATTATTTCCCTCACTTCATTAATAGTACTATTACCAGCAATATCCTCATCAATCGGAATATCACAACCCATTGTGGAAACATTTACAAAAGTTTTTGTGGAATTTTCATTAATATTAATATGTGATGTTTCATGTAATGTGCTGAGAAGAACATCAGAAATCATTTCCGATTCTAACTTAGTTATTCTGTCGAAGTGGCGTTTTGATACATATGAAATATTTCTTCTTTGGTGCTTTCGATTCATTTTTATTCTATTAGAATGTGTTAATATACAATTATTGTTAATGCGGACAATATATAGCAGAGAGAATGCAGTTGTTCTCCATTTTCACACAAGTCTAAAGTTATGTGAGTATTTTATACTCAAATAATGACGTCATTGTTCAGTGAATATTAAAGATAGAAATGAATTAAATTCAAGGCCAATAAATTCAAAATTAACAATAAGAATAAAAAGCAAACAGACCAGTGCTAGATGTTCGTGCGTGTGTATTGAAATACAATTATAAAATAAACAACTTATATCAGCTCATCTTCAAATTCTTACAAAAATTGATTTATCATACATTATAACGTTTTTGAAAATGAATTATTTATCATTGCTAATTATTCGCACGCAATATCTTGTTAGAATTTCGCATTATGAAATCGCTGAGAATTCCAAGTATTAATGTATTGTTCATGGTCAAATTTAATGTTAAGACTAAAATTTAAATTATAAAAAAAATATTAATTTGGAAGAAATGTTAATTACATAAAATATGATTTCATATTATATAAAAGATACGATTTTAATTATATAAAATAATTCAAATCTTCAATTTGGTTCTTCTGTTAATATATAAAATTAACGGAAGATGACCTGATACAGGTTGAAACGTTATTTATTTCATAATTGTACTCCAATACATACGAACATCTAGCACTGACTGTTTACTTTTATTCTTCTTGTTTTGATTTAAAAAAACGCGCAAGTTTATGGGCCACTTTTTCCAACGTCGGTTACTGTTAACCGTCGATTTCAATTTTTTAATAGAATTGCTAACATAAAGAATAAAATATTATTATTAAAGATAACAAAAATGTTTAATCTTTTTCTTTTTTGATGGCAGTATTTCATTCATATTAGCCATTCAACACACAAATTTATAACCTCACTTTTAATATGAGTTAACAAACCTCAATAAAGCACACGATTTTGAGCTTGTGCAGATTGT